TCAGACGCGATAAAAATAATAGTCGGAAAAAAGCAGCACGAAATAATGAATATACTTAACAGGTACCTAATGGACCAGAGCTTTCCAGAAGTCTGGAAAGTAGCCAACGTTGTTCTAGCGTGGAAAGGGAAGACCAAGGATATCAGGGACGAGTCATCATACAGACCTATATGCTTACTCAGCACTCTAGGCAAACTGTATGAAAGAATCATAAAGGGAAGACTGGAGAAATACCTGGAAGGGAACAGGAAAATATCGGAAAACCAATACGGGTTTCGAAAAGGACGATCAACGGTCGATGCGGTCTTGAAACTGAAGGAATTAATGGAGGACTCTCAAGCTAAATGGATAGTGATGATCACCTACGATGTGAGAAATGCCTTCAATCTTGCATCGTGGGAGAAGATAATGGAGGCTCTAAAGGAAAAAGGGACACCCAGATACCTAAGCAATATCATCGACGACTATCTTTCGAATAGGAAAATCTTAATGGGGAGGAAGGAAATGGAGACTGAGGTAGGGGTCCCACAAGGATCGGTACTCGGCCCTCTGTTATGGAATGTGATGTATGACGGGGTTTTAAGCCTAAATCTTCCAGAAGACACTCACACTATAGCCTACGCGGATGATCTGTCAGTAGTAGTGGAAGGAGATAACGAATTGGAGGTAAACAACAAAATCGAATTAGTAAATTATGAAATCACCACTTGGATGAGAAGGCATAAACTAGTAGTGGCACCGGAAAAGTCAGAGTACCTGATCCTGAAGGGCCCCAAGGGTAAAAGACAGGATGAAATTAGGGTTAACATGGGCGGTAAGCAATTAAACAGAGTCAAGACCGTGAAACACCTGGGAATTGTACTTGACTATAAGTTAAGTTTTGGTCCACACGTCAAATATGCCACGCAGAAGGCAAAAGCGCGCATGAATACAATCTCAGGGTTAATGGCAAACCAGGGAGGTCCTAGCTTCCAGAAGAGGAAAGCTTTATACGGAGTGGTACAGTCCATTTTGCTGTACGGGGCTCCCATTTGGGAGGGGGTGCTAAGATGGGAGAAGTGGAAAAACCTTATCAATGGGACGCAGAGATTGGCATTACTCCGGGTGGCCGCATCATACAGAACGGTATCAAAAGAAGCGATACAAGCAATCACGGGAATCCCCCCATTGGACTTACTAGTAGAGGAAAGGGGCAGGATATTCAGGCGCAGCGATAGAAACTCACCGACGGCAAGAAAGGAAGAAAGGGAGGTTACGATAGACAAATGGGTGGAGAGATGGAGTAATACGGAATCCAATACAGCAAAATGGACAAGGGAAATTATTAAAGACCTAAGGGGATATGTGAACTGTAAACACAGAAGAACGGAATATTTTCTTACCCAAGCATTATCGGGACACGGGAGCTACGGCACATACACAGAAAAAATAAAAAAGACGGAAACGAACATCTGTACAGAATGCAACGTCCCTGACTCGCCGAGCCACACTCTTTTCGAATGTGCCAGATGGGAAAGGGATAGGGAAAAAGTAGTGGAAAAGATAGGCCCTATAAATGTTTCGAATTTGATGGAAAAAATGACAGGAAATGAGGAGACTTGGAGAGAATCACACAGGTACATTATAAAGATTATGAAAAAAAAGGAGGAGGAAGATAGGCAACGATACGGATAAGTTAACCATCCGTTGTTGATGGAAACCCCAGCAACGGGTAATACCAACAGCGGACAGAGGTCGAAATCGAGGTGGTTTTAGTGGGTAAACAAGGCTTGCACACCCCGCCTTGGAGTCCTCACACTACCGGGGAAAGGAGGAACCTGTACCCGGTGTGCATAAAGCATTTCCACCCGGCAAAAAAAAAAAAAAAAAAAAAAAAAAAAAAAAAAAAAAAAAAAAAAAAAAAAAAAAAAAGGGTAGGGTAGGGTAGGGTAGGGTAGGGTAGGGTAGGGTAGGGTAGGATGATTTCAGCAGGAGGGTGCTGTACGGAGTCGTGGCGTCTGTCCTCCTATACGCAGCGCCGGTTTGGGGGAAAGTGGTTGCCATTAAAAGGTACAGAGACATGCTATTAACAACACAGAGGAGAATGGCAATCAGAGTTGCGGCTGCCTACAGAACTGTATCGGCGGAAGCGGTAGCGGTAATAGCGGGAATCCCGCCGATAGACCTTATGGTGGATGAACGATGCAGGCTAGCTGGCCGTGAAACGGTTACCGAGGCAGACAGGAGGGCAGAACGGATAGAAACAATCCGAAAGTGGCAGGATAGATGGAACGGCGCAAGTACTGTTGCGCAGTGGACTAGGGCAATAATACCTGACCTTAGGACCTGGATGGACTGCAGACACCGAAGGACCAGCTACTATGTAACACAGGTCCTATCCGGGCATGGTAGTTTCGGGGTTTTTCTGCACAGAATTAAGAAGGTGGATTCGGACGGATGCATGTACTGCGAGCAGAAGGACGACCCGGAGCACACCATCGCAGAGTGTGGCAGATGGCAGGAACAACGATCGGCTCTGGAGGTAAGGATGGAGGAGAGAGTAACCACGAAAGGCCTGGTGAGATGGATGCTGGAGAGCAAGGAAAACTGGGGGATTGGTGATAAATACATCCGAGACGTCATGGAGAAGAAGGCAGAGGAGGAAAGGACTGCAACGGAGTAGGAGAGGAAAATTCACTCTATGGCTCGACGTAATGTCTGCGAAGACGGTCCCGGGCCATAGGGATTGAAGGAGGTGGTTTTAGTGGGTATACAAGGCCTGCACACCCCGCCTTGGAGTCCTCACACTACCGGGGAAAGGAGGAACCTGTACCCGGTGTGCATAAAGCATTTCCACCCGGCAAAAAAAAAAAAAAAAAAAAAGGGTAGGGTAGGGTAGGGTAGGGTAGGGTAGGGTAGGGTAGGGTAGGGTAGGGTAGGGTAGGGTAGGGTAGGGTAGGGTAGGGTAGGGTAGGGTAGGGTAGGGTAGGGTAGGGTAGGGTAAATTCTCGTTCGAAACGAGAATTTACCACCGAGCAGACAGAACAACACTAATGGCTCAGAAGGAGGAAAGAGAGATCACGCTGGAAAAATGGGCAGAAAGATGGAATCGGGAAAATGCAAGTACTGCAAAGTGGACAAGGGAAATCATTAAAGATCTAAGGGGATATGTAAACTGTAAACACAGGAGAACAGAGTATTTTCTTACCCAAGCTTTAACGGGACACGGGAGCTACGGCACATACACGAAACGAATAAATAAAACAGAAACTGACAACTGCATAGAATGCAACGTCCCGGACTCGCCAAAGCACACTCTGTTCGAGTGTGCAAGATGGGAAAGGGAGAGGACAGAACTAGAGGAAAAGATAGGCCCTATAAATATATCAGATTTGATGGAAAAAATGACACTAAATAAGGAGACGTGGACAAAAGCACACGATTACATAATAAAGGTTATGAAGAAAAAGGAGGAGGAAGATAGGGAACGAAATGGATAGATAACCATCCGCTGTTGATGGAAACCCCAGCAACGGGTAATACCAACAGCGGACCGAGGTCAAACCGGGGGTGGTTTTAGTGGGTAAACAAGGCTTGCACACCCCGCCTTGGAGTCTCACACTACCGGGGAAGGGAAGAACCTGTACCCGGTGTCCATAAAGGATTTCCACCCGCCAAAAAAAAAAAAAAAAAAAAAAAAAAAAAAAAAAAAAAAAAAAAAAAAAAAAAAAAAAAAAAAAAAAAGGGTAGGGTAGGGTAGGGTAGGGTAGGGTAGGGTAGGGTAGGGTAGGGCCGGGTACTGCAGCCTGGACTAAGCAGTTGATAAGGGACGTTAGAGTTTGGTATAAGTGCAGGCACCGGAATACGAATTTCTATTTTACGCAGATCCTAACAGGGCACGGCTGTTTTAAGCAGTATACTAAAAGAATCGGAAAGACCGAGACCGATGTATGCATGTACTGTGAGAATGCTGACACTCCGGAGCATACCATGTTTGAATGTCGAAGATTCGAGGATGAAAGAAAGAGGCTGAACCACGTTTTGGGCACAAGAGAGATTGGGAGTCGAAATCTAGTGGAAGTAATGCTCGAAAGTTCGGAGAACTGGACGGAGATTATGAATTACAGCGTGACCATAATGAAGATCAAGGAGGTGGATGAAAGAATCCGTTAAAGACAACGCTGGTCTAGCCCGTCGTATGCCGTTTTGGTGAATCCGGACTAGTCCCCTAGCATGCGTGGAGAAGGGAGTGGTTTTTAGTTGGTAGGCGTACTTTTGTACGAGTCCAACACTGTCTGGGACATCTTCCCAGTCGTGCATGAGCATTTTCCACTTCCATAAAAAAAAAAAAAAAAAAAAAAAAAAAAAAAAAAAAAAAAAAAAAAAAAAAAAAAAAAAAAAAAAAAAAAGGGTAGGGTAGGGTAGGGTAGGGTAGGGTAGGGTAGGGTAGGGTAGGGTAGGGTAGGGTAGGGTAGGGTAGGGTAGGGTAGGGTAGGGTAGGGTAGGGTAGGGTAGGGTAGGGTAGGGTAGGGTAGGGTAGGGTGGGGTCCGAATGGCTGGTACCTGGGTCTCAGAGGTGTTCCGGATTGCCAATGTCCGGGACGCATTAAAACTTTGAGTAACGCCCAAAGGCGCCCATATGCGGCCCATAGTCTTGAAAAGGCTGTTGAGATAGTCCTGAAAAGGACTGTTGAGATAGTCCTGAAAAGGACTGTCGAGATAGTCCTGAAAAGGACTGTTGAGATAGCCTTGAAAAGACTTACCGGCAAATCCTTTCTCCACCTCCTCGTGGTGGACCCTGGTAATGCGTGGCGTGCAATGGATGTACGTCACGTAGCCAACGGAGAAGGGTGAAGGCGAGCTTTCCGGCGCCATAGCGGGAACCTATTGGCTAAGGGAAGGAAAACCCTGACAGAAAACCAACTGGATTTACGGATATGGACATGGCTGATAATAAAGGAAAATTGCTACGGGACAGGGTAATCGGAAGCCCAGAACCGGTCGGTGTGAGGAGTTTTCAGGCGGGCTCCCATCGACCGTCATCATGCGACCGCCTAGATTCCCCAACGGTAGGGCAGGTTGGGGATATCGGTAATGCTACTGCCTCAGGTCGTTCTTTATCCGAAGAGGGTAGAAGATATTCGAGCTCAACACAGAGCGAACAGGAATGGTTGAAACAGGATATTTCAATAAGGAAAAGTTCTTTAAGGAGGACTCCGACAGACACGAAAAAAGGTGATAAGGAGAGAGAAGAATTCTTTACACCAGGAGGAATTGAAGAAACCACTACCATGAGCCAACCTAACACCGAGGAAGTAGGATCCAAACAAAGAGGGACTACTGGAAAAAGGAAGAAGCTGGACATGGATTCATCAACGGAAGAGGGGGAAACTCGGAAGAAAGATAGGACTGAGGATCAACAACTGGTGAAATCGATACACAAAGTGCTAAAAGCAGTAAAAAAGGTAAAAGATTTAATTGACAAAACAAACAATACAAGAGGAGACATACGAAACGCTACAAGGGAACTAGGACATCAAGCTGAAAAGCTTAGCTTTGATCTGGAAGGTTGGGATATACCGAGGCTGAAAGAAACTAAGGAATTTTGCACGCAAACCGAGGAGGAGGATATACCCGGGGTGGATCGCAGAAAAAAGGAAGTCTGTGAGATAGGTATACAGGTCAACATGGACAACAATAGCTTGGAAAACGATATCGAAAACATAGAAGACTACAAGGATATGGAGAAACTACTAGGACATGATTGGCCAGACGAGGTGTACACAAGGACTAAGGAGATAGTAGAATTTCCAATAAGGAATACGGATAGGGACTGCGATCTACTGACGTTAATAAACCCCAAGGAAAAGGAAAAAGGCCTAGGAAAAATTTTAAGGGATCATAATCCAGAGGCTTGGGAGCAACTAGACGAAAACAATAAAGACCTAAAGTACGTATCCACAACAACTATAGTGAAGACAAGTGACGACAAGACATTAGAACACAATAAATACACTTATACCCTCCCTTATGACCCAGAGGAAGAGCCGAAGTACGCGAGGATATATGAATGCATGGTAAAGTTAAAGAAGGAAATGGACAGGAGTGGAAGGAACAAACTGATATTTGCAGCAGCGGAAAACATCGATAGAGGAGTATGCAGAAAGGTACTCGAATGCGTTTTTAGGAAATCTACCGTTGACATTGAATGCAGGGTACCTACTCGAACGGAAACGAGAATTATCGATGTAACAAGGACGGCCAAAACATATAGCACAGTAACAATACGGAACAAGGAGGGAACGTACGCAGAACTGCTAAAGCAGGTTAAAGAAAAAATTAACATCGACAATATGAACATAAATATTAAAGGAGTTCGTAAAATAGGGGAAGGTGATCTGCAAATAACAATTCAAGAAGGAAACGAGAAAGCCAGAATTCTGGAAAAGGAGCTGAAACAAAATTGCAACGCGACAGAAATTACAACGAGAAGCAGCGGCAAGACCCTTTACCTTCTAGGAATAGACCCAACTGTTGGCGAGGAAGAAATAAAAGTAAACCTAGGGAAAACCCTTAACATAGACAAGGATAGCATAGATGTAAGAGCGATTAGAAAATCCAGATACGAGAATAACATGGCGATAGTAGTTATGCCAGGTAAAGCAGCTAACGAACTTTTAAAGATGGAGAAAGTTAAATTAGGGTGGACAACCAGGGTCAGTGTTAGAGAACGGATAAAAATCGAGAGATGTTATAGATGCCTGGAACACGGGCATAAAACTAAGGACTGCACATTAACTGGTGACAAGCCAGAAACATGTCTAAACTGCGGCCAGGATGGGCATCGGTCGAAGGCCTGCACAAATGATCAGTACTGCATTAAATGTAAAGAGAAAGGCCACAGATCTGATCAAATAAAGTGCCCTTATTTTAAGGCACTAGTTGAAGAGGCGAGAAACAAAAAGAAGAATATTTTTAAAAGCCAGATAAGTGTAAACAGTGTCGCAACGGGGTATTCCTATGCCTCCGGAGGGAGACGTACGTCTCTAATCTAACGCACACAATCATTAACATGAAACCCCTAAGCGTTCTACAGACAAACCTTGGTAGAAGCAGAGCAGCGCACGATATGGTATACAAAGCGATGGGGGAGCGAAAAGTAGATGTATTGATGGTAAGCGAACCGAACAAGAGTATAGTCAAAGGGGGAAATTGGATAAAGGACAGGTACATAGATGTGGCGGTTATGTTTAGAAATAGGAAAATCGAAATCGGAGAGATAATTAAGGGAGAGGGTTACTTGGCTATAGATTGTAAAAAGTTTAAATTGATCTGCGTTTATATATCACCGAATATAGATATAAAGAAATATAAAGAGAAGGTTGATGAAATTATGGATCTGTGTAGAGCAACACGAAGAGACTACCTACTTATGGGCGACGTAAATGCAAAATCGAGATATTGGGGCTCAAGGAAAGATGATAAAAGGGGAGACTATCTAGTAGAGTGGCTAACGGCGCTGGATATCAAAGTAATGAATGCAGGAGACTCGCCAACATTTGTTAGAGGAGACCAAAAGTCCTTCATCGACATAACGTGTGCTACACAGGGGCTGGCAGGGAAGATACAGAATTGGGAGGTTCTAGAGGATGAAAATCTAACAGATCATCAATACATCTACTTTGAGATAAAAGCTATAGGGGGTAAAGGGTCCATCGAAAAAAGACAATACGCGGTAGATTGGAAGGCATTCGAAGCAGGGTTAGAGTTGAGGACGGCTACTAGTACAGCAGAGAATATTGGCGATAAAGGTGTCGAGTATATAAGGGAATCATACACGAATAGTTTAAAACGAAAAGAACGCAAATGCAGGACAGTCCCTTACTGGTGGAATTCAGACATCGAAAATATTAGAAACGAATGCAACAAACAGAGAAGAATCGCAACGAGACTAGCCGCTCAACCCGATGCCCCAACAGAGGAAAAAGATACTGTGCGAAAAAACTATAAGAATACGAAGAAGCGGTTAAAGAAATTAATAAGGGACGCTAAAAGAAACGAATGGCAAAAAGTATGCAACGAGGTGGAAACCGATATCTGGGGAGTTGGGTACAAAATAGTCACAGGAAAGATGCTGAAAGTAACGCCGGTAGATCTAGACCAAAAGACAAAATTAGATATAGCAGCAAAGCTTTTTGTGGTAGGGACCACCGACGATTGTAAACATGCTACAACAGAGTCCAGCTTTGAACTGTTCTCCGCCAAGGATTTGGAGGAAGCGGTAAAAAGGATGAAGGGAGGTAAAGCTCCAGGACCAGACAGCATACCTGTTGAAGCGATAAAAGAGACATTTCGAATCTGTCCGAAGCTATTATTGGGAATCGCAAATAAAATACTTACCGAACAAAGGTTCCCCGACGACTGGAAAGTAGCAAGAGTTGTGTTGATTCCTAAGCCAAAGAGCGGGAAGTTTAGACCCATATCCCTGCTGAACACCACCTGCAAATTAATAGAAGCAATGATTAAAGCTAGACTAGAAAGAGAACTGGAAGAGAACGGCAAGATATCTGGGGACCAATATGGATTCAGGCAAGGCAAATCAACTCTGCAAGCTATGGACCAGGTCATACAAACGTTAAATGGCAGTAATGAGAAATGGATAGCTCTGATTACAATAGATGTAAAAAATGCTTTCAACATGGCGTCCTGGGAATTAATAATTAAAGAACTGAGGAGCAAGGGTATATCCAAGTATCTCGTCAATATAGTAAGGTCGTATCTCAGTAATAGAAAAATAGCGGTTGGTAAAACAGTGTTACCAGTAAAAGCCGGCGTTCCGCAGGGTTCGGTCCTAGGACCAACTCTGTGGAACGTCCTATACGACGGGGTACTTGGTATAAAATTTCAGGAAGGGGTTAGAGCTATCGCATTTGCAGATGACCTGGCTCTCATAGTTGAAGGAGTTGATCCGCCAGACCTTAGCCATAAGGTCAATCTGGCCACGCGGAAAATAGGAAAGTGGATGGCGAGTAGAGGTTTAGAAATGGCCCCGGAAAAAACGGAAGCGGCAATCCTAAAAGGCCATAAGTGGGAGAAAAAAAGAAGTGAAGTTGAATTCGTCATAGAGGACCAAATAATAAAACCGCAGCCAGCCATCAGGTATCTCGGAGTAATGTTCGGGTCGGGAGGAAACTTTAAACACCACGTCATGTACGCATGTGAGAAAGCGGAAGCAAAGGCTAATGCGCTAAGCAGGCTAATGCCAAATATGCAGGGAGCTAGCAGCAAGAAGAGAGAGATGCTAGGGGCAGTGGTACACTCGGTATTACTATATGGAGCACCGATATGGGCTGATGCAATCCAGGTTAAGAAATACAGGGAATTATTGGAGAAGGTTCAAAGGAAACAACTGCTCAGAATCGCCAGCGCATATCGGACAGCTTCAACAAAAGCTCTGCAGGTAATCACAGGCGTAATTCCCATACATCTAATGGTGGAAGAAAGGGTGATTCTGTATAAGAATGGCATAGGAAAAGACAATACGCGAAAAGGGGAACTTCGATCTGAGATACTGGATAAATGGCAAAAGGAGTGGGAAGAAAATAGTGAGGTCGGTCAGTGGACAAAAACACTGATCCCTGACGTGAAAGAATGGGCGGAGTGTAAACACCGGAGGCTAAACTTCTATGCCACCCAAATTTTTACGGGACATGGAAGTTTTCAGTCATACGTGAAAAGAATTGGAAAGTCGACAAGAGAGATATGCAGATATTGCACTGGCACAGACAACGCAGAGCATACTCTATTCGCGTGCCCCAGATTCGTGGAAGATCGAAAAGAACTGAGTATGAAGATAGGTGAAATCAAAATAGAAAATTTAACGAGAAAAATGACATTGAAAAAAGAATTCTGGGAGGCAGCAATAGAGACAATGACGAAAGTAATGAAAGTTAAGGAGAAGGACGAAAGAGAGGATCCATTGACTGAATAAGATACGAAAGGACAACATAAGATAGGCTTTCCACCATGGATGCAATGCCGGGCGACGGCGGTTCCTATGGTTGGTAAGCGAGAAGAAGGGTCGAGGTGAAAAAAAAAAAAAAAAAAAAAAAAAAAAAAAAAAAAAAGGGTAGGGTAGGGTAGGGTAGGGTAGGGTAGGGTAGGGTAGGGTAGGGTAGGGTAGGGTAGGGTAGGGTAGGGTAGGGTAGGGTAGGGTAGGGTAGGGTAGGGTAGGGTAGGGTAGGGTAGGGTAGGGTAGGGTAGGGTAGGGTAGGGTAGGGTAGGGTAGGGTAGGGTAGGGTAGGGTAGGGTAGGGTAGGGTAGGGTAGGGTAGGGTAGGGTAGGGTAGGGTAGGGTAGGGTAGGGTAGGGTAGGGTAGGGTAGGGTAGGGTAGGGTAGGGTAGGGTAGGGTAGGGTAGGGTAGGGTAGGGTAGGGTAGGGTAGGGTAGGGTAGGGTAGGGTAGGGTAGGGTAGGGTAGGGTAGGGTAGGGTAGGGTAGGGTAGGGTAGGGTAGGGTAGGGTAGGGTAGGGTAGGGTAGGGTAGGGTAGGGTAGGGTAGGGTAGGGTAGGGTAGGGTAGGGTAGGGTAGGGTAGGGTAGGGTAGGGTAGGGTAGGGTAGGGTAGGGTAGGGTAGGGTAGGGTAGGGTAGGGTAGGGTAGGGTAGGGTAGGGTAGGGTAGGGTAGGGTAGGGTAGGGTAGGGTAGGGTAGGGTAGGGTAGGGTAGGGCTCACTGGACATGGCTGCTTTATGCAGTATGTCCATAGAATACAGAAGCGGGATAGCGATAAATGTATGTACTGCGAGAAGAGCGATACCGCAGAGCATACTCTCTTCGAGTGTGTGAGATGGGCTGAGAGCAGGGAATGGGTGATGAAAAAGGTTGAAAGGATAATGACGCCAGATGACATAGTCAAGGTTATGATTGAGAGTGAGAGTGCATGGACTGTAATACACGAATGGGTGAGGGAAATTCTGAAAGCGAAAGAGAAGGATGAAAGGAATGTGATGGTATGATAGAGGAAACGCTGGAGACGCTTGTTGAGTGCCAGAGATGGTGATCCGAGCGGTTCCGGTTAGCGTGGATGGAGACAGGTTTTTTTAGTGGGTATTGAAGCCTGAGTCCCACACTCCCCGGCCGCACAACAACAGGCCGGGCGTGCGTAAATGCATTTTTTCCTGTCTTAAAAAAAAAAAAAAAAAAAAAAAAAAAAAAAAAAAAAAAAAAAAAAAAAGGGTAGGGTAGGGTAGGGTAGGGTAGGGTAGGGTAGGGTAGGGTAGGGTAGGGTAGGGTAGGGTAGGGTAGGGTAGGGTAGGGTAGGGTAGGGTAGGGTAGGGTAGGGTAGGGTAGGGTAGGGTAGGGTAGGGTAGGGTAGGGTAGGGTAGGGTAGGGTAGGGTAGGGTAGGGTAGGGTAGGGTAGGGTAGGGTAGGGTAGGGTAGGGTAGGGTAGGGTAGGGTAGGGTAGGGTAGGGTAGGGTAGGGTAGGGTAGGGTAGGGTAGGGTAGGGTAGGGTAGGGTAGGGTAGGGTAGGGTAGGGTAGGGTAGGGTAGGGTAGGGTAGGGTAGGGTAGGGTAGGGTAGGGTAGGGTAGGGTAGGGTAGGGTAGGGTAGGGTAGGGTAGGGTAGGGTAGGGTAGGGTAGGGTAGGGTAGGGTAGGGTAGGGTAGGGTAGGGTAGGGTAGGGTAGGGTAGGGTAGGGTAGGGTAGGGTAGGGTAGGGTAGGGTAGGGTAGGGTAGGGTAGGGTAGGGTAGGGTAGGGTAGGGTAGGGTAGGGTAGGGTAGGGTAGGGTAGGGTAGGGTAGGGTAGGGTAGGGTAGGGTAGGGTAGGGTAGGGTAGGGTAGGGTAGGGTAGGGTGGGGACCAAATGGCCGGGTTTTGGGACGCAGTAGTCCCAGTGGGTCTCAGTAGGTGCGGTGAGGTGCCCATACTTACCGTACAATAAAACGCTGAGCCCGCAGTCCTGTGTGGACGAACCGGCAAATCCTATCTCCACCTCCTCGCGGTGGTCCCTGGTAATGCGCGGCGTGCTGTGGAAGTACGTCTCGTAGCCAACGGAGAAGGGTGATGGCGAATCTCTGGCGCCTAAACTGGAACGCATGGGCTAAGGGAAGGGGAACCCTGAAAAAAAAACCAGAATAACTATGAAATGTCGGAAATTCGCAACGTATTACCCCAGGGGGGTAGGACCGAAGGTCCAGAATCCCCCTCCGCGATGTCGGACTGCCCCACGGATTCTGGGGGGGGCAAATTTTCGATAGATTCGGTAAAGCCGACGGACGGCGATAAGGCGTTCAAGCCAAGGAAGGCCTTGGCGAGAACGCCCCCGCTTCCCGACGCACCAGCCGGTGGGAAAACCGGTAACAATGAGGAAGGAGAGACCAGCAAATCGGTAAAGGAGATTAGGATTGCACTAAGGAGGCAGGAATCTGTTTCGGACGAATTACCGACTCCTGGGACAATGGAGGGATTTACGGACGAGGAACCGTTCGTATCAGCTATCTACAAGCTGTCAGGCAACGCATCGGCTTCGGAATTATTCTCAAGCGATGAAGATGCAAGGCCCGCTTTTAAAGGACAAAAGGGGAAAAGGGAAAGGGAGCAGATGTCACCGAAGAAAGGGAAGAAAAAGATTAAAGAAGATAAAGGAACGAAGGTTTCGGAGGATAAGGAAGGAAGCAATAAACTAAACGAGTTTAAAAAAATGTACGAAAAGATAATGACCGAAGCGAAGATTCTTAGCGATTTAATACGTCAGCACGGGAATTACACGAAGATGGAAATTAAGGATCACGTCAAGGAGATGAGAAGATGGGCGGAGAAGGGAGAAATGACACTTATAGAGGTAGAACAAGAGAGGCACACGCGTAGGGAAGAAAAGCCGAGGAAGGAAGTTAAAACCTGCACAGTAGGAACACAAACTTACCTGTCGGGAAATGAGGAAGAGGAAGAAAAGGAAAGTAAGGAAATTAGTGAACAAGTAGACCGGGTTGTAGAGTATCAAGACCTGGAGCCGCTGATGAATAGACACTGGCCACAGGCGACATACAAAGCGATAAAAGAAGTGGAGAAAACCCAAGACACCTATAAGGACAACACCTTTGTATACCTGTTCGACCATAGAAGGGACAGGTCAGACGGGGAGGGACTAGAGTTGGAAACGGTATTCCCAGGTTTTAAGGAAATGATAAAGACTAGTAAAGGTGACACGGAAGAGATGGGCAACACTCAAACAATCACATCGAGGGCAGGAGCTAAAACAACGGTTAAGAAAGTATACATGCAGCCAGTCACTGGGGACTCTGTAGTGTGCGAGGAAACATATAAGAAACTGGAAGGGGTGTTGAAAGGTTGCAAGAGGAATTGTAATGAGGTAACAGTGGAGATAACACACGACCTGGACAGAGAGAAGTTAAATAAACTTCTCGAATGTGCAAGCCGAAGGACAAGGATTAAAACAAACATAGTAACACCAATAGACAAACAGATGATAGGTAAGAAATTTCAAATGGATACGGTTATTGTGAGAACAGGTAATGAAGGATCGTACGCGGATATGTTAAAAACCATAAAGACCAAGGTAGCAATTGATAACAAGGAAATTGACGTTAGGAGAATGCAAAAAACGAACAGAGGAGACCTGATGATTAAGGTTAAGGCAGGAGGGGGAAATAGACTTACGGAGGTACTTAAGGAGCAGGTTCAGCTCACGGCGAAATCCAGTATCCCCAGAAGGAGACAGATGGTATTCCATATCAGGGATATAGACGAACTGGCGACGGAAGAGGACGTGGAAAACGGGGTAAGAGAGAAAGTAGGTAGGGACGTGTACTTCACATTGTCCAGATTAAGACCGGCATCGAATTCGACCAAAACGATAACACTCGTGATAGATAAATCGGCAAGACAAAAATTGGGAGACAACGTAAAAATAGGTATAATCAACTGCAGACTGGAGGAGAGGATTAATGTAGGTAAATGTTACAAATGCTGGGGAGTTGGACATAGAGCTTCGGACTGCGAGGGACAGGAAAGGAAAAATAACTGCCTGCAATGTGGGAAGGAAGGTCATCTACAAAGAGAATGCCAAAGCAATCCTTATTGTATTACCTGCGAAAAGGAAGGACATACCACGAACTCGATGAATTGTCCCGTAATGAGAAAGCTGGTATTTGACAGAAGGGAAAGAATACGAAGGGAAAGCAGAGGGTCGATAAGCGGAACACCTTCGATAAGCGGAACACCTTACCGTAAGATCTCGGATTCTCAGAGAGGACAGCAGACAATCAAAGACTAGACAAACAAACAAAACAAAAACAAATAAAAAAAAAAAAGAAAGGAAGAAGAAGAAAGGAGGAGAGAAAAAAGGATCATATTTATACACATATTTATTTGTTTACACATATATTTATTTACACATATATTTATTTATCTATACATACATTTTACAATGCTGAAGGTGTTACAGATCAACGTAGATCGCGCAAGGGCTGCACATGACGCTACCGATGCCATGGCAATAAGGACGGGAGTAGATCTTGTGTGTGTGCAAGAACCAAATCAGAGGATTAGTAGAAACAAGGGGTGGATACTGGATAAAAGAGAGGATGTGGCAATATGGTGTGTAAACAGAAATATGGGAATAAAGAAACATCAAACGGGACAGGGTTACGTGAAGATCTGCTTTCAGGATATGGTTCTATATAACTGCTACTGCTCTCCGAACATCGGGTTGCAGGAGTTTAAGGCGTACATCGACGAGGTCATGAGGGATGTCAGGACACAGAAAAACAAGGTGATTATCCTGGGAGATTTCAATTCGAAATCGGTTATTTGGGGATCTCCAAACACCGATAAAAAGGGTAAATATCTGACTGAGTGGATGGAAGCTTTGGACCTAACAGTGCTGAACGATGGGGAGGCGACTTTCGAAAGGAGGGGTATCCGATCTCACCTGGACTTAACCATGGCAACATCGGATATCATAAAAAAGATCAAGGATTGGAAAGTACTGGTGGAGGAGGAATCATTCAGTGGACATAAGTATGTGACCTTCGAACTGGAGAGAAAGATAGTACGGACGAGCTGGATTGAGCGCACACCAATCCACAAACAGGAGTTTAGAGAATGCCTACTAATCACCTGTCAGGGAAAGGAGGCTAACCCAACTAGTCTGACGGAAGCAATAAAGGCGGCACAGCAGTTTGCTACATCGCAAAGAAGAACGCAAGGAAGAACGCAAGGAAGAACGCAACCATACTGGTGGAATCATCATATCGAGGAGCTGAGGACGCATTGCAACGCAGCAAGAAGGCTGCTAACGAGAGCGAGGAGGAGAAAACCACGACCCAACATCGCAGAAGTGGAAGACCTCAGCGAAAAATACAAAAAGGCAAAGAAAGAATATAGGATGGCGATGTCCACGGCCAAAAGGCAGCAATGGAGGCAGCTCTGTGAAGAGCTGGAAGAAGACGTTTGGGGATTGGGTTATCAAATCGTAACTAAAAAACTAAGAACATCAAGAACGCAGTACGAATTACATAAAGACGAAAAACACCGTATAATTCTAGAACTGTTCCCTACGAAGGCAGATAAGTGGAGGAGTTACGAAATGGGCCAAAACGTCCAGAAATTCACGAGAGGAGAGCTATCCGTTGCTGCAGAGAAGCTAAAGAGTGGAAAAGCCCCAGGGCCTGACCGTATAATGGTAGATGCGATGAAAGAAGCCGTGGACACAATCCCAGACGTGATCCTCGATATGATGAATCAACTACTAGAGAGGCAGCAATTTCCGAACTGCTGGAAGGCGGCGAAGGTAGTTCTGATCCCCAAACAGAACGGTCAATACAGACCGATCTGTTTGCTAAGTGTGATGGGCAAACTGTATGAACACCTTATTAAAGGCAGACTAGAGGAGGAAATGGAAGGAAAAAACGTACTATCTGACTCACAGTTCGGATTTCGAAAGGGTATGTCAACCCTTGATGCGGTCAGTTGGGTATGCGAGAAGGCAAGGGAAGGAGGGAAGGAGTGGGCAGCACTGGTGCTGCTTGACATAAAAAATGCCCTTACCTGATTAAAATCGTTGAAGACTACTTTAGGAATCGGCAAATAAACACGGGGTTGAAGAACCTAAAGATGACCCAAGGAGTTCCGCAGGGTTCGGTCCTCGGACCGACTCTGTGGAATATCTTATACGATGGAGTTCTCCGTTTGACGCTGACGGGGGATTGCTGGACGGTGGCATATGCCGACGACTTGGTGCTGGTGTCTAAAGCTAGAGACAAGAAAACCCTCATGGATGATACTAACCGTGCCTTAAAGGACATTAGTAGGTGGATGTCAAGCAACAAGCTTAAGCTGGCAGCAGCTAAAACAGAAGCCGTTATTGTGAGAGGTAAAACGAGCAGAGAAGACATCGTGTTCAAAGTGAACGGGGTACCGATAACCCCTAAAAGAGCAGTGAAATACCTAGGTATATGGTTGGACGACAAGCTTCGTTTTACCTCTCACATAAAGAATGCGACCTGTAAAGGAGAAAGGCTCGTAGGGGCCCTAAAAAGAATAATGCCAAAAACACGTGGTCTGGGGACGAATAAGAGGAGGCTCCTAAATGGCGTCTGGCAGTCAACGATCCTGTACGGCGCTCCTGTATGGGGAGAGGTCCTGCGGTACAGGAGGTACAGGAATATGTTGACTACAGCGCAACGCAAGCTGCTAATTCATATAGCGTGCTCTTACGTCACAGCATCTACGGAGGCTCTGTACGTTATCGGAGGAGTTATACCTGTCGATCTGCTGGTGGAGGAAAGGGTTAGGCTATGGAATAGTGAAGAACAAGGATCCAAAAATAAGGCAAGGATGAGAGCGGAAACCGTAGAAAAGTGGCAGGAGAGATGGGACAATTTGGAAGGAGTGGCGGCATGGACCAAAACTCTAATAAGGAACGTGAAGGAATGGTTGGATTGTCCCCATCGAAGGACAAATTTCTACCTCACCCAGGCACTAACGGCCCACGGATGTTTCAAGGCTTACGTCAAAAGGATAGGTAAAACGGATGATGGGACATGTATGTACTGTAGCGAGGAGGATACAGCGGAGCATACAATTTTCGAATGCGAGAGGTGGGAGAATTTCAGGAGCACTGCAGAGAGGAAAACGAACACAAAAATCACGAAAGAAAATATCATAGGATTAATGCTCAGGAACGAAGAGGATTGGAAAGCCATACAGGACATGGTAGAGGAAATTTTAAGGATCAAGGAGGTGGACGAGAGAGTTTTAGAGAGGGAATCGATGGACGAGTAGGATACGCTGGTCCCTCTGTAGCATACCGTTTTAGGTGAATCCGGAGGCTGACCAAATAGCGTGGAGAAAAGTAGGTGGGTTTTTAGTTGGTAAGGCGTTGCCCTCGGCAACGAGTCCAACACTGCCTGGGACACCTTCCCAGGCGTGCATGAGCATTTTCCCCCTACTTAAAAAAAAAAAAAAAAAAAAAAAAAAAAAAAAAAAAAAAAAAAAAAAAAAAAAAAAAGGGTAGGGTAGGGTAGGGTAGGGTAGGGTAGGGTAGGGTAGGGTAGGGTAGGGTAGGGTAGGGTAGGGTAGGGTAGGGTAGGGTAGGGTAGGGTAGGGTAGGGTAGGGTAGGGTAGGGTGGGGACCGAATGGCCGGGTTTTGGGACGCAGTAATCCCAGTGGGTCTCAGTAGGTGCGGTGAGGTGCCCATACTTACCGTACAATAAAACGCTGAGCCCGCAGTCCTGTGTGGACGAACCGGCAAATCCTATCTCCACCTCCTCGCGGTGGTCCCTGGTAATGCGCGGCGTGCTGTGGAAGTACGTCTCGTAGCCAACGGAGAAGGGTTATGGCGAGTTTCCGGCGCCTGAAATAAAAAACTGGAATTAGTGGGCTAAGGGAAGGAAAACCCTGACAGAAAACCCGTAATCTAAGCTTGGGAAACTGCGGTGAGGGATTTGAAGGCTCCACGTTACGGAGTCGCGAGCAGCCCCCCGGCACCATGGCGAGGGTGTGCGGGGTAGGCGGAAGCAAGGCCTTGCCGGGGTACGGGCGCACTGCCCCGGTGGACTGTCATTTCGGCCCTACTCGTGGGAATTGAATGGATAATCAAAGTAATAAAACAAAACAGACAGAGGAGAAGAAGGAGAATGTAGAAGAAGGGGAAGTAAAGATTTTTCGGGCTAAAACAGCTTTGGCGAGGACACCACCTCCTACTCGAAGGTTATTGTTCGAAAGGACGGAAAGATCGAACTCCGTGGGGGGAAAGAGGGCAAGAGAGGATGAAGAAAAAGATGAGCTGGATGAGGTAAAGGGGACGGCACTGAGACTGACGCTGACGATGGAAAAGGTCATGAAATTGCTGGAAGAAAATCCTAACACACAGAGACAACTAAGGGAGGCGATTAAGGATTCGAAAGGGCAGATGGAAAGGTTAAACAAGAGAATAGGAGCACTGGAAGCTAGGTTAGCACAAAGGAGCGGAGGGATTAAAACAATTGTTGTGCAGGAGACGATTAGTAAGAATTCGGTAAGAGAGGAGATTGAAAGGGTTCTGGACGCCCCGGGGGGGGTAGAGGAACTGAAGGGATGTGTTAAAAAGGATTGGCCTGTGGAAGTGTATAGGAAAGTAAAGGAAGTTAAAGGTACCTGGGGAGCGCTAAAGGATCAAGGGTCGACGGTAATGATTGTAAACTCCAAAGCAGTAGGAAGCAGAGTTGTGGAGGACTGTGCGAAGGAATTTGAAGACCTAGAGGAAATCGTGAGAGAAAACGAGGGTCAAGTAGAGCCGATTGTGTATACGAGAGCCAGAGTGGTTAAAGGAGTTAAGAGGGAAAAGACCAAGACAGTATACGTTGTACCATATAAGGCGTCGGGGGTCCTGGAAGAAGATGTGGTGACGTTGGTAGAGAGATTTAAGGAACTAAAGGAGGAAATGAAAACGGGGGATAAGACACAGAAGTTAGTAGTGGTGGGGGATGACGAGGTCGAGAGAGAGAACATAAAGAAAACATTGGAGTACGTTTTCCGAAAGGAGGAGGTAGATTCGATCATGGTAGTGGGAAAGTACGGTAGAAGGCAAGAGAAGGCAACTGAAAAAATAATTGTGAAGGCTGGGGAAGGCTCGTATGTTGAGGCACTAAAAACGCTGAAACAGAAGGTAAATCCGAAAGACCTGGGAATTGGTATAAAAGCCGTACAGAGAACTGCAAAAGGAGACCTCCTTCTGGAAGTGAAAGGAAATAGAAAGGAAGCAGAAAGGTTCAAGGAAGAGATAGTAAAGA